AGTTATTATTTTGTGAAATGATAATATAATCATCATAAGCAGCAATAGGGATTCTACTAGCAGCTATCTTTGAGTACTGTATATCATCAGGTTTATAAGAAATCTGGACCTGGATTAGATCCAGATGTCAAAACCTATCTCTAAATATCAGTTTTTTACAATATTTCCATAGGCTAATGAAATGTTGATTTACTAAATCTACAGACCAGAGGAGGAACAAAACAAGGTAACCATTGTCTATTCAATATAATATGTATAAATCGAAATACATAAGTAAGACAGTTTCAACACTATTAAGCACTCATTCAGTCATATACTGTATGGGGTCATAAGTGTCATAATTAATACAGTACAGGGCAATTGTGTGGAACTACCTTAATTAATTAAAATGACCTGTCTTTGCATTGAGCACTCGATCATTGTGCGTTTATGTAGGGTGGACTTTCAGACTTTAGCCTCAGGCTACAGTAGGTTTTCTTAAAACCCAAGAGACTTCAATCATAGCCTAGATATTCACTTCATTTTTCTGACTCTAAATAGCCTGAACAAGTGAGTAAGAAATTGATGAAAAACTGAAAATGCAAACTTTGCAAATGCTCACCTTCAAGTTGTTCAGGCGATTCTGCTTCTTAAATTTCACTTGTCAATATCAGATATGATCCCTATGTAATCCATGATAGAAGTTCATCACCTGTAATCACATAATTATTGAATGATCGTTCGATGTAGACTGCCGAATGGATTTCTCAGAATTTGAACATGGCACTGCCGGCAGCCATCTTGAAGAAAAGTGGGTTAATTTTGATGCAATATATTTCGGTATTTATCTCTCAAATACAAAGTCAATACTCACTGGTTTCAGATTTTGTGGAAGCCATGATATTCAGATGATACAATGATCACCAATTCATGGTTATAACCATCGTAGATTATTTAAAAAAATTGCATTTGTTAGCGACCGCTACAAAAGTTAAACTAGATTAACATCGATTAATTGAGTGCAATTTTACATCTGTAACCTGGGGGAGACGGGTTTCTGCCAGTTTTTGCGGAGAAGTTTTTATTTTTTTGAAAAATCGGGCAGAATAATTTCAAGATATCTCAACGACATTTGAGGCACTTTCATAGACATCAGGTTTGATTATGCGCTCTCTACAGCTAAGTTACTGTAATTTACTACAATGAAATTCCAACAGAATGAATTTTCGTTATGATTTGATGAAGTTATGTGCCCTGGAAAATGGGTGGTCAATTTTTGGGTCTGCTGATGAAACTTAGAAATGGGACGTCCCGGCGGATCTCCTGCTGTACTGTCTTCATTAACACTGTCATCTGAATCAAGAGGTGTGTTACTTGCTTTGCCACAATGTGTTATTGCATTTTCACTATTAAATAATATATAAAACCCTTTAAATAAATTAAGGTTTTGTAGTTTTTAATATAAGGCCCTTCATCAGAATGCCAACATATAATTAATTTTGAATGGCCTAATCTGTACATGCAGTTATGTAGTGTACATGCCCAGGTTAGCAGCCATATTGAAAACATAAACCAGCCATAAACCAGCCAGCAAGCCTTATTTTCATCAGAAAAGTTAAGTTTTAGTGGTGAGCCCACACTCCCACAACAATGATATTTGCAGAGAAGCTACTTTACAGTCTCTACATTATACAGTTTCAATATCTTTTTTTGTGGGAGCGTGGGCTGATGGTTAAATTTTCAATGAAAGGGAATGAGCACCATGCTAAAACTTGATAACAAAGTGAAAAAAAAATGACAATGTTTTCCAAACTTGCATTGGTAAACTTCATACATAGCTGGATTCTGTTAATGTTCTACTCCGAATGCTTGTATTTCATATGTTCCATATAATAAATTCTATATTATGGGGTTCTTAATGCCAATTTTTCAAAGAAACTGAAAACTAATGCCACTTTTTGAAATTGCACATCTCAAGAAAAAAGGTTTACCTACAACTTGCAATCGACGGTTTTAAAAGTAGATGGAAGAATGAGTTTTTTGGAAAAGGTCTAAGTGGACCAATAGTCTGTTAAATGGACCTGTTCTTTCCCATGACACATGCAGTATACAGATCTTGACCATGACAAGCCAAAAATAATATATATTATACATTCATATTTTTGTCTTTAACAATTTCACAAATAATCATTTTACCATTATCTGAATTTTGTGGATTGACCTTCAATAATAAAGGAAATTGAATAAATAAAAAAAATGTTCCCATTTTTTTATTGTGTTATGTTGTAATTGTGTTGGTCGGGTGACTGGGTGGCCCGACATTGGACATTACAATCAAATTAATTTAATGACTATGAAGTCATAACATGAAGTACAACCTAAAAACAAATCAGGCCCACAGCCCCTCTAATAAGGCTGCTGTTAAACAACATATCATGGAGTTTGATACATCTTGGGCCCCTTCTGTAACTCACTCGTAATTGAGAACATCTGCTGCAAGATTGGGATGTCTGGCCTTCTCTACAAGAATGACAATAGGAGATGATCCTAGGGATAGGTAAAAGTTGTCAAAATTTGAAAAAATCACACATCAGTTTTACCCCAAAAGGAAACCTAATTCATGTCCGGAGCATGACTTTCCCAAAAAATTACCAGGAGCACAGTATTTTAATTATCGTAAAGGATCCGTTACCCAATGTACCTAAAGGTGCCCCCAAAGGTTTCATTGAATGTAACATGGAAATAGTTACTTTTATAAATTATGAACACATCCAAAACAAAATTAGGTCATAGGGATTAAAACTAAGGTCATTCAGTGCATTTAAGTTTGACTATGCAAATCATTCTAAATATCATGTTAGGGGTATGTTAGTCTTCACTCTTGACTATTTTAAGTATATTGACCATTCAATCAATCGATATATCAAAATATCATTAAGGTAGGACACTAAGGGCAACATATTGAAAACACAAATCATAAAACAACCCCTAAAATGTAGTATATCTATGAATCTTACTCTTGAATCTCAGCAAAAGTACCACCTCAGTTGGTATGCAGAGGGTTTAACCTAGGATATTCAATTTAGACGACATATTAAACATCATTATCAAAGGTAGGACACAAAGGGCAACATATTGAAAACACAAAACCTAGGTATTCAACTCAAATATTAAAAATCTAGTTGTGACTTTTCAATATATGATATATTTATTTGGCATTTTCAAAGAATAATTCAATTGAAGCTAAAGGTATAAAGTCAAATGATTGCTTTTTAAAATTGAAAAGGTGCATGTAGGAGCGTTTTTTCGTCAGTTTGAAACCCTTTGTTTTGCTATCAAACAAGTGGAGGTATTTTAATCTGTATAACATATAATTATCATGAGGTAAAATATTTTAGTTTGACTTAGGATGAGAAATATCTTACAAGCAGTTTCCCTTTAATGGCTAAATGGATATTGATTCTTTAAGCAATATATCATCTTTTGGGACAAGCATCAAAAATAAATTGACCCTTTTGTTTCTTTTGGTGAGAACTACCTTGCAAGCAGTGTCCCTTTAAACAGCTACATGGATATTGTTTTAGTTCCTCAGCAATATATCATATTCAGGGGTAGGCAATTGAATGAAGAATCAAAAATAGATTGACCCATTAGTTGAGAACTACCTTACAAGCAGTGTCTCTTCAAATGGGTAAATGGATATTGATTCAGTCCCTCAGCAATATATCACATTCAGGGGCAGGGATGACTGATGAATCAAAAGTATATTGACCCTTTGATTCTTTTTTTTGAAAATAGTTTAGTGTTCATTAGGATGAGAACTATCTTACAAGCAATGTCCCTTTAAATGGCTAAATGGATAATGACTCAGTCCCTCTGCAATATATCATCTTCAGGGGTATGCATGAATGATCGATCAAAGATAGATTGGCCTATTTGTTTCTTTGGGTGAGAACTACCTTACAAGGAGTGTCCCTTTAATGACTAAATGGTTATTAATTCAGTGTCTCTTCAACATATCATCTCAAGAGATAGACATGACTGATGAATCAAAAGAAGATTGACCCATTTGATTCTTTGTTTTAAACATTTTAGTGTTCATTAGCATGAGAACTACCTAACAAACAGTGTCCCTTTAATAACTAAATGGATATCAATTCAGTCACTCTGCAACGTATTCAGAGGCATGCATGACTGATAAATCAAAAATAAATTGACCCATTTGATACTTGTCTGATAGTTTGTTGCCTTGGTGTCTGGCAGATCCAATATGGCCTTTTTGAAACTAAATTTTTTGCTATACTTTCACATTGTATATCTTCCACAGCCAGGACCCTCTCTCATTTCATGTTCGGACTATGCAATAATGTCAATACTAAACAATAAAGGTGAAATCAGAGGGGGTCTGACCTGCGGAAGCACCTCAATATGTTAGTGACTGTAGAAGGTCATCCATTCTTAAAAACAAGAAGACAATAGGGTGCCTTTCAAAACAATAGGATTACAAAGTATCTATGCATGGTTGATCTGCTTAGTGAAGGTTATTATGCTCAGACAAAATGTAGTTTTATACTGACGAGTGAATTTAAGTGTATCTACAAAAATCAAGATTTTATTCAAGGTTTTGTGAAAATGTGTGAAAATGTAAAAAACAACTTTTTAGCATATTCTAATGATTATTTTTGTGATTTGTTGAAAATATACTTCTTAAAGATTCATATTATATAAGAATAATCCTAGAATTCCAATTTACCCTTTTCGAAAAATTTCTAAGTCCTTATAGGTACACTAATGGGTACGGTTCCTTTGCCTTTAAACAGTTGCTCATGCAAAATTGACCAATTTTTGAGTCGCGAGACATTGAAGTTTATCTTGTATCAATACTAGATCAGTCTATCATATTTTCAAGTACAACTGAATTGTAATTGGGAAACATCAGAAAACCAGAATAATTCGACCATGCTGACTGATCTTAAGTTAAAACCTAACACATATTCTGTACAATGTTCCGTGTTTTGCAGCCCGCAGTTCCAGACTACAATCCATTTGATAATCCTTTTAAGAAGCTGATTGGTGTAGGAACATTAAAGAAACTGCCTGATGATTGGGATGCTAAGAGTTCAATAACCAATAAGTCCCTAAGGGGAATACATGGCAAGAAAAAGGATAAAAGAAAACTCAGACATGATCTTTGGCTCCAAAGTAAGTAACACAGGGCTCTCACCAGGAAATATTTAGGGTGTGGTGCTAGCATCTTCAGAATAATGGTTCAATCGTGATAAATCATATTTATGTTATGTTTTATACTTTTTACATGCTATTATTGAATATTCAGTCAAGTTTAGACTGTGGAAACAGTCATGATTTGCCAATAGGGTGTTGAGGGAGCTAAATAGAGTGTGGTGCTGTGCTACAGTCTAAAAGCCTGGCGAGAGCCCTGTAATAAATGTTGAAATGAATATCTCAGACAAAAAAATGAGTTATTCATTTAAAATCATAAAGACTTGTTTATATATTTGGATATCTTGAATGGGAAGAAATAAGTTAGATTCAATATTTTAACTCGAATATTTTTATCCCATTGAACAAAGTTCGGAGGAATATAGGGAGTGCCTTCGGCTGTCCACCCGTACATCTGTATGTACGTCCAAATAACGTATGTCTGTCTGTCCATTGAGTTCTGCTCAAAAATCAAATTTTTAAAATGGCTGCTGTTTAAGTATGGTGGCCATATTAGTGCAAATTTTATGGTAATTTAGGTACAATATATAAAACTAATAGTTTTAAATGTAAAATAAATTATATAGGACATTAATAAAGCTAAAAATGTTGATATTTAAGAAGCACATGGCAGCAATCTTGAAAAATGGTAGCCTTAACACTCTATTTTTTATATGATTTTGGCTGTAACTTGAAAAGTAGCATAGCAATTTTGTTCATATTTTACATGTGCATATTATATGCATGGCACACTGTCTTATGAGACTTTTTGTAGAAGACAGCCATTTTGAAAAATGGCTGCCATTTTAATGTGTGTTATTTTACATTTATTACTATAACTGGAAAAGTAGTAGAGCGATTTTGTTCATATTTAATATGTGAATACTATAAGCATGGCACACTGTCTAATGACACTTTGAGTAGTAGGCAGCCATTTTGAAAAATGGCCTCCATTTTTAACTTGTGTTATTTAACGTTTTTTACTATAACTTGAGAAGTTGTGGGGTAATTTTGTTCATATTTGATATGTGAATACTATAAGCATGCTACACTGTCTCAATGACACTCTGGGTAGTAGGGGACCATTTTGCAAAATGGCTGCCATTTTTACATTTTTTACTATAACTCGAAAGTGTAGTGATTTTGTTCATATTTTTGATATATGATTGGTTCACTGTCTAATGACACTTTGGGGAGAAGGTGGCCATTTTAAAAAAGTTTTTTTATGTGTTTTATTTTATGTTTTTTACTAAAACTGGAAAAGTAGTAGAGCGATTTTGTTCATATTTTATATGTGAATACTCATAAACATGCCACACTGTCATATGACATTTTGGCTAGTAGGTGACCATTTTGAAAAATGGCTGCCATTTACATGTACGTGTGTGCGATTTTGTTGAAATTTTATATGTGGCTGCTTAGAAGCATATTACACTTTTTGATGACAATTTGGCCAGTGAGCAACCATTTTGAAAATGGTGGCCATTTTTTGTGTGCTATTTTACAATTTTTGCCATATACTTTGTGTATAAAAATGCCAGCCATGGCTGTTCGATGGAATTTGCTATGCTTTGGCATTGCTCTTGTCTAGTTTGAATCAGATATTATTTTCAAAACTTATTAAAGTAGTCGGATGTGAAAGCATAAATATCACAATTGGTGCATGCAATTTTTATCTAGAACTGAATGCTGGAGAAAGTGCGAAGAATGAGGAGAAAGCAAGAAAGAAACGGGAGAAGACTGCCATTGTGGGAGATATGCGGCCCTTAGAAGAGACACTTCCCACATTAGAATTACTCTTAAAGGGAAAGGGCAGAAAAAGAACTACTAGCACAAGGTAATTAGATTTTCCTCAATGCATTATCTGTTTCACCACCAAGGTATAGGTATATTATTTAAGGATTTAAACTTTGGACTCCGTGCAATGTGTACTAAACCATTCCACTCAGATGTTGTTTCCAAATCTTTGCATGACCCGGCAGGGGGAATGCAAAGTTTAGGAAAAAACATCTGAGTGGAATGAAACAGCCACAATGCAATGAGTCTTGGGCTTAAATTCTTTTCACACATTGCAAAATATTTTTTATAAAATCACTTAAGATACAAAATCACTAAAAGAACAATACAGGGTGATCACTAAGTTCTTGGAATTTATCTGTCATTTCATTATTTTTCAACCAATCTACTTGAAATTTTTAAGGTAAATGGAGAATATAGTTTTGGGTTGAATCACATCACATTGTCATATGATGTCACAATGGATAATTATTGTTACTATAGCAACATGACAAAAATATGCCCATTGACGCATACGTGATTTGAAAAATTTCTCGAGTAAATTAGGTATAAATGCAATAAATAGTGATTGACTTGGACTTCCAAAGGCATTTTTCGATAATATAGAATACGCATTACATTTTAGAATAAAAGTGTGTTCATGTTAGTCAGAAGATAGGACAACCCAATTGATTCAAAACAACAAAAGAATATACAAATCCGTCGCACAAATTATATTTTTTAGAACACCAGATTTACTCTTTAATTTAGAGTACTCAAACACCGATTGTATGACAACAACTATAGGCTTAAATTAAGGTACACAGTTGTAAAGATACCGAGGTGCATCCTCACCGTTTGCTGCGAGTATCATATGCTTATAAGGAATCAGTCTTACACATCAGGTAAAATACAACGTATGTATCGCAGTATTAACAGCAACAGAAAAATGAAGTAAACATGCGTTTAACTACTTTGAAATTCAATTACCTATACGAAACAGCAATTATCTAAATTGATACGTCAATTCGTGATGCCAAGAAAACAACTACTGCCGATGAAAATGTAATTAAAAGGGTCGGCAACGTATGTATTCACATGTTGTCAACTCAGTTTTCATATTTGTTTGTAGTGTTCTTTGACCCTCTTTACATGTTCTGTGTATGGTTAATCCTGATCTGAAGTTATCTGCTTGGTCTTACTTGCTTCACAGTCTCAATCATTTTCATCCCTGTCTTTCTAGGTTCTATTTCAACTTTTTTCCAGATTTTGAATATCACTGTGGTTCGCAAATATTTAAGAAGGTTATTATCCCATCGAACGAAGTTTGGAGGGATATAGGGAATGCCTCCGTCTGTCCGTCCATACGTCCATCCGTCCGGGCAATAACTCAAATACCGCTGGCCCGATTTTGTTCATATTTTGTACACATATACCAAATGGGAGTAGGAGTTCTGCTCAAAAAACGATTTTCAAAATGGCTACTCAAAAGAAAATGGTGGCCATTTAAGTGCCGATTTTACAGTAATTTAGGTACTGCATATAAAACTATAATAGCAATATGTTTTAAATGTAAAAAAGTTACATAAAACATTGATTAAGCTAGAAATGTAATTATAGAAGAGATACATGGCAGCCATCTTGAAAAATGGCTGCCTTTGCACGTCATTTTACGATTTTTGCTGTAACTTGAAAAGTAGTGGAGCGATTTTGTTCATATTTGGTATGTTAATACTTTAAGCATGGCACAATGTCTATTGACATTTTTACGTGTGTTATTTAACATTTTTTTCTGTAAGTCAAAAAGTAGTGGAGCGATTTTGTTCATATTTGGTATGTGAATACTTTAAGCATGGCACAATGTCTAATGACATTTTGGGTAGTAGGTGGCCATTTTGAAAAATGGCTGCCATTTTTACGTGTGTTATTTTTACAATTTTTACTATAACTCAAAAAGGAGTAGAGCGATTTTGTTCATATTTTATATGTTAATACTATAAGCATGGCACACTGTCTAATGACACTTCGGGTAGTAGGTGGCCATTTTGAAAAATGGCTGTCATTTTTACATTTTTTACGATAACTTGAAAAGTATTGGAGCGATTTTGTTCATATTTGATATGTGAATACTTTAAGCATGGTACATTGTCTAATAAAACTTTGGGGAGTAGTCAGTCATTTTGAAAAATGGCCACCATTTTTACGTTTTTACTATAACTTGAAAAGTAGTGGAGCGATTTTGTTCATATTTGATATGTGAATACTCATAAGCCTTGCACACTGTCTCATGACACTTCGCATAGTAGGCGGCCATTTTTACATTTTTTACGATAACTTGAAAAGTATTGGAGCGATTTTGTTCATATTTGATATGTGAATACTTTAAGCATGGCACATTGTCTAATAAAACTTTTGGGAGTAGTCGGCCATTTTGAAAAATGGCCACCATTTTTATGTGTGTTATTTTACATTTTTTATTACAACTCAAAAAGTAATAGAGCGATTTTGTTCATATTTGATATGTGAATACTCGTAAGGATTGCATACTGTCTTATGACATTTTGGTTAGTAAGCGGCCATTTTAAAAAATGGCCAGCATTGGTGATTTTTTAAGAATTTTATATGTGGCTACTTAAAAGCATATTACTTCTTCTGATGACAACTTGGCTAGTGATCAACCATTTTGAAAATGGTGGCCTTTCTTATGGGTGTTATTTTATATGATATTTGCTATATATTTCAAATGTTAAAATGCCAGCCATTTCTGTTCGATGGGATTTGCTACGCTTTGGCGTTGCCGTTGTTCTGGTTAATATTGCTGGTTTCTTTCAATCGGATGTTTGGGTATTTGATCCTTTTTTTATACCTGCTTTCCCAATCGGCCTGCGCTTTCAATGCCATATTTTGATAATGGATGCAGTGACAAGTAATTTCTAGATATCATTGAAGTCAGCAATATATGTTTTGGTCAGTCTTGGAATGTGGAGAGCGGCACTTTGGCATTGGGTATTCTGACAGATGTTTTTCATACAGATTCGTCATGTAGTTGGTTAGTACTCGTGTTTGTCTTTTTTTCATTTGGTCTAACCTTCTTAATTGGAAAGAGTCGTGTACTGATTCCAGCTCTATTTTCTTTGTCAGCCAATTTTGAATTTCAACCCTTTTTGATACGCAGGTAACGTCTTCTTTTTATGTTTGCCAGAGCCTTTCTTGACAATCTAAAAGCTTAAATTGTGAATGCTACTAACACAACGGTATCCCCTAGCTAGTCTGCCATATACTATTGTAAGACTTTTACGTTTCTTGGTAGATGATGTTTTCTAGCTCCTTCGATTTCTTTTCTCATTGTATTGAGTGTCAACAGTTTTCTTCTGACGTACACGTATCTTTGTCTTCTTGGGGTCAGGTCAGGTTTAGTTCTTTAATCTCATTAACGGTTTGTTTTCTTGGTGTCACAATTCATCCCTGTAAATTGTTGCCTAGATTTCTTTTCCAATCTTCATTTTCCCAATTTCGAGCTTTTACGTTTTTAAGCGGTTTTCATTCCTAAATGATATCTTTATTTTACAATGTTCAGATGATATTGCTTGCTTTATTTGCTTTTGAAAATCGTTTGTTTGGTTTTTGTTGTTATTTGCAGTCTAACTATGTGATGGGAGGTGATAGTTCTGGTTTCTGTTGATCTTGATTCAACTCTTAGCAACTTTCATACCTGCTGGGATTTTCTATTACTGCCCTTTCCTGTTCATTACGTTCTCCCTTAAGAGACTGGCGATAACTCAACTAGTTTTTCTTGTTTCTCTCTTTGAATTTTCTTTCAGGAAAATCTGCAACCCTTGTGTAATAGCCACATTGTCTTTATCTTTTCTTTCTCAGAGAGTCACAACCTTTTGCATTTTGGCGCTTTCTATACATTTTTTGGATCTCACTTCTTGATTTCACCGTCTTAATTAAATGTAATAACAATATTAAACGTAAGTATCAGTACAAACGTTACCATTCAATTAAGGTCAGTAATGATAATAGCAAAAATAATTAAATGAGGGAGATGTTATAATTGATGCATCAAACATTACATTATAAGGAACTGAGGTAAAAAACACATCCTGTCTCATGATCCGGGTATATTCAGCACTGTACATGAAAAAATTGGGTTGTAAAATTGAATTACTCTAATACACACATAAGTGCACTTTGAAATAATGACAAAACATGACTCATTTCTCTCTTTTTATCTACCTCGACATTACTACTAACATATTAAATAATAATTTGTGTAAACATTTTATCATTTCTTATTGAATGTAATTCGTTAGGCCAATGATACACAAGTTACCACTTGTAACGTATGTATCATTTTTTTGAACACAATATTTTTTTCTAAATGGATACATATGACCCTACCATTGGACATTGTGAATAGACCTAGCCTATTATAGTATAATTTTACAATATTAGCTACCAATCAAATATAAATCAAAGCTGCCAGACAACCTACCTTCCGAACCCTACATTCCTAAACACTAACAGACAGCTAAAATAACGAGGAATAAAATAGCCTCTAATAGAGTGCAATCATGAATTCTCTTGAAAGCCCATGCTGTAATCAAGGTAATCTTGTAGTATGCGCCAAATCAAAAATATGAGTTTGAAAAAAATCATGTTTTTCAAATAATAGCAGTGAGTATGTGAAATAGGAGGCATATTTGATATTGATATGTATGATAGTCTATTCGGGTGTGGTCATTTTTATTAAAAACAATAATGGTGAAGAATTATACATTACTGACCTTGGAATGCCATTTTAATTCAAAAGTCACTGTTGCTAATGAAAATATTCCTATTTTACTTATTCAATGTTTTCTAAATGTTTCAATTACCATTATGTTAGTTTTTGGCAAAGTAAATAATTATAGGGGTCACATAAGGATCCACTTTATTTAGAACTTGTTCATATTTAGTGATGATTTCAAAAAATACCAAGTTTAACACAATTTTGTTTGTTAAATATTAAATAAAATGATGGTATGGTGTTTGTTTCATTGTTTCAACTAAACATCG